ACTCTCTCATCCACTCATGTATCCACTGAGTCATTGTCATCCATCCATCCACTCATGCCTACATCAAGCTATCACTTATCCATCTAGCTACTCATCCCTTAGCCAGCCCTCTTCCCCATCTGATCCCTCCCATGGCTTCCTATCCTCTCATCCCTCTCACCCTCATTCATCCACATCTTGTCAATGCTCTCATAGAGCTGACGTGTCTGTGATGATCGCTATAACCCCAGACCGACTAGACCATCACTAGGCCGGTGTCTTTCAAGCCCACAGGCTTTTCCTCTGCCTCTGGTCACCTTGAGTCCAAGGCAATCGGCCTCCCCAGATGGCTTGCCCACAATCACGTCTCTTAATTCCTCTTCTAACACAGATCAAGGTTCAGCCTTGGATGAGCCAAACTGCTGTGTGAGCTGGGGTTGCGTGCTGCCCTTCTCTGGGCCTCAGTCTCCTGATAGGCTGCATCTGGAGGAACCATTGCAATCTGAACATACATCTGGTCTTCTGCATCCTATTCTTTCCACACCTTGAGGAGAAGCTTCCATTTTATTCATGCGAACATTACCTGAATAAGGTGGGAGGGTGAAAGAGGCTGGTGGTGGCAATGGCAGCCAGCAGGGCATAAGTCCCCTTTCCACGCAGGTCCACCTGGGGTCCTCTTGCTCTACACGCTGCCATGGCTCCCAGGACCCTCCCCACGCTCAGTTCAACATCAGAGACTCTGCTAGGCCCTGCCAGTGGTAACTCTCCAGCCTCGCTCCCCGCGTCTCACGCACTTCCCTTCCACCCCAGCCGCATACCTGCACACCTCCACAGCAGTGCCAACCCGCTCCTTGCCCATATCCCCAAGGACAATGGCCCCCGTCCAGCTGGCTTGCTGCTGCTACCTGTTCCTCATGATAAGGTCCAGAACACAATAAGTGCTTGTGTGTTCATAAGGATGAAAAAATGAAATGCTTTCTTTACCTGGCAAGCGCCTTCATCCTTCAAAGCCCCAGTTCTAATGCCTTCCCTCCAAGCAGCCAGACTCCCCAGGCAGAATCTCCAATTCCCTATCTAGTTCCTCAACCCTGCACCCCTCCCTCCGACCGCACCTGCCCAGTCTGGCTGTAAGTGCCAGTGTCTAGCTCTGTCTGTTCTTCAAGGAGCCTCAGACTTCACTTGTTTCATAAGCAAGACCCCAAAAGGTTCAGCAAGTGAGTGAATGAGTGAGCGAGCCTGCGAGCAAGTGAGTGAGCAAGTGAGTGAATGAGTGAGCGAGTGAGTTCCTACTGAGTGCCCTCAGTGGCCAGAGTCTCACTGGCCAACATCAGGGGTGAAAGCTCTTGGATGAGCCCAGTGAGGTAAGTCCCACAACAGTGGGGGTCCTGGGGCTCCCAAGACCCCTTAACCGCCAGGCCAAGCAATCCCCCCTCCCCTTGCCTGAGGCTTCCAGGAGTTAGTTCTCTGGGAAGCTGCTCTTCTCAGCCAGAAGCACCAGGCACCCCCCCAGGTGAGCTGCCCACGCTCAGCTCAGGGTCTCAGCCTAGTCACATCAGCTGCCCCGCCCTGCTCACCACATGGTCTCCACTCAGCCTGTGCCAAGAGCATCACCTGCCACCCCTGGGAGGTGCCCTGCTGGCACCCCAGAGCTACTCCAGCGGGCACAGCTGAGGAAACCTGCCCTCATCCGCATGGCTTCCGAGGAACAGGCCCTCTGCATCCAAGCAGTCACTGCTCGCCACCAGGACCACCTCCTCCAGGAAGCCCACTGGATGTCCACACCAATTTTGAGCACCACAGCCCCGACTTCAGTGCCTTGCAACCTCCTGGTTCCTCCCAGTACACCCCCGCCAGCCTGGGACCTGGGGACAGGAAGAGTCTGAGGGGGGTTGTGTCTGTTTTGCCCAACACTGTTTTCCAGGTCTAGAAAGGCGCAGGGAGTCCCGCCAAAGGCGGCTTGAGTGGAAGCCCCCCACACAGCCTAAGGGGCAGAGCTGAGCTATTAAGGCCATGAAAACTGGACGTCTGGGGAAACTGAGGCACAGAGCAGGGCTGTGCCTGGCACAGAGTCACCTCGCCAGCCCTGGGCCTCACCCCTGCCTGCCCTGCTGGCGCCTCCTGGGTCCCCCCGCAGCCCGGGGCTGCAGCCTCCGGGGCTGGGCTGGGACTCACACTGGGGATCTCACGCCTGGGGGCGCAGCGGGCTCCAGCCTCCCTCCTGCTGCTGAGCCGAGCAGCTGGCGCTCCCATGGAAACCGCAGGCCCCCGCCCCCCCACCTGCACCGGCCCCCCTGCAACCTCCGCTTTAAGACAAATATTGTCATTAACATGCAAATGCATATGCCATTACCATAAGTGGGGGCCGAGCAGGCACAAGCCCTGCAGGCTCAGCCCCGGCAGGGTGAGCATTAAGATGCAGGCCCTCAGGAGAGGGCCTGGTGGGGAGACTGCACACCCCAGCCCCTGCCCGGGTGAGGGAGGGCGAGGACGAGGGCGAGGGCGAGGGAGGGCGAGGGCGAGGGTGGCCGGGGTCTGCCCTCTGCCCGGGAGTGGAGGGCCCCCCCGCGCTGAACAGCAGGGTGGGAGATCCACTCCCAGCACACCCCACGCCTGGCCCTGGCCTAGTGTCTGGCCAGGGAGGCTCCCTCCTTCTGCTGAAGCACCAATCTGGGGCCTCCCTGGCCTCCCACCCTCGCCCCTGTGTGTGGGGGGCGGGGTCTCCCTCTGTCTCTTCCTTCCTTTCCTCCTCTCTCTTCTCCGTGTCTCTGCCTCTCCATCTCTGACTCCATTCTCTAACACGGAGCAGCCGGCACGCCACTGGGCCTGCCTGTGCCCTTCCCCCAACCTGCCCGGCCGAGGTCAGATGTGTGTCTGGACTCGCCTGGCTCTAGGGCTCAGCATGTGCCCCCTGCACAGTTCCTTGGGAGCTGGGGTGTCTCCCTGCATCCTTGGCTGAGGCTGTCAGGGCTCACTACCCCCAGCACCACTTGGGTGGGGAGGAGCTCGCCTTGGGCCTGGAGCCAGGGACCAGGCGCACAGATACAGTTCTGCATCCCCTGGCCTGGCAAGGAGGTGGCAGGTTGGGGGGGACCCAGACCAGGTCAGTGTGGGACCCAGTATTTGCCCCTCCTGGCCTCAGTTTCCCTTCTACAGAAAATGTGCTGAAGCCCCCAAACCCAGGTCAGAGCAGCCCCTTGACATAACCCCTGAAAGTGGAGACGAAGGAGGAGGTTAGTGGGCAGCGGGCAACGCTCTTCTGGCCTTTCCCTGCTGGGTGCTGCGGTGATAGTAACCCACATTGGGTGTTTGCACGTCACCCCTCTGCTCTTTCTCTCTCCTGGTGTCCACCCTCATGGGACCTCCAGCATCTAGGGCCTCAGAAGACTCCTGGAGAATTTCTCCCCACGCCAGGGTTAACACCCACCACCGCCCAGCTCATCCTGCAGAAACTCACCACTCACTCTCCAAGAACACGGATTTCCTACTCATGGTTCTTCATCCCTTTGGCTGAGGCCCAGAGAGGGCAAGCCACTGGCCAGAGGTCACACAGCAGAGGCACAACCATGGGCCTCAGTCTTAGTCGAGGCCCCCACCTCCAGCTGACCACCCCACCCCCTCCCATAAGTCCTCCTGGTAGAAACCAGGTTGGGTCCAGCTAGGGCCAGCGCAGGGGAGGCCCTGGCTGCAGGGCCTCGGCGGGCCCGCCTAGGCTCCGAGTTCCCTTCACACGGACAGGCAGGGCCTGGTGTCACAGACATCCTGCTCCCCGATTTCCAGCCACCAAAGAAGACCTGAGAGGGAAGAGACTGCAAGGAGACCTCACCCCAACATCATCTGGTGGGAAAAACAACCCACATTCCTGGGGCCCTGCTCTGCTGACAGCAGGAACAGTGGGGCTCAGGCCGAAGTGAAAACTCGGCTCCCACCCCTCTCCCTTGCTGTGGGGGTGGGGTGGGGGATTCCCAGGGGAGACTGAAAATCACACGCACAGAAAAGGGGAGGAAAAGACCACTGAGGTGTCCTCCCGCCATCTGTTTACCAGACTTAGCTAATAGTAGCCCCGCAATTCAATGCTGTAGCTTCCGTCCCCTTAGAATCTTTATAGAAACGGGCCCAGCAGACACAACAAGGGGTGTGGGCATGTGGAGAGAGCCCCCCTTACAGCCCTGGACCCCTGAGCTTGACTCACAAGTGAGGGTGAGGCCCACTGCCCTCCACAGGGAGGACACGGGGAGGGAATTTTCCAGGCTCCTTTTCCCCTTCTTTTTGGTGATGGTTGGATTTGAAAAGATGTGGGGGAGGGGGCTCTTCGCTCCCCCCGAGGAGCAGCTGGAGGGTCCAGTGGAAGTGACAGGCCTGGGCTCCCTCTGCCAGACTCTCCATGTGGGCTTCCCCAGACCCTTCCTTCATTCATTCACGCACTCACTCGTTTGTTCATTCATTCACTCCACAAACATGTCTTGGCGCTTCCAGGGCCTGGAGCTGGGGATCTGAAATAGGTCAGGCGCCCCAGCCCACCCTCCAGGGTCTTGCCAAGGGTGTCCAGCACGAAGCCTTTGCTGTACCCATCCTGGTCCCCAACACCCAACAGGAAAACTGTCTGAGCCACCCAGATTCAGACACTGGGCCCACCCCCTCCCAGCACGCTACCAGAGAAAATCAGGTGGTGGGGAGACAGGCAGGCCCCCCACCTACCTGCCTCCCCCACTGGGCTCCAGGGTCGCCCACGCCTCCCTCTCCACCCCAGGATCTGGGCTCTGCCAGACGGACAGTCCAGGCTACTGGCTTTGGCCTCAGATCGCAACACATTGCTAACAGGCTCAGCCAGTTTTAACTTGAGCCAAAGGTGGAGGCAGGGAGGGGAGGACAGAGAAATGGGGGGTGCTGATCCCCCCCAAAATGAGAGGGTGGTCAGGGAGGCAAACAGTAGCATTCTGGCCATCTGAAGCTGGTGCTTCCCACCCACCCCCAGCCTGGCTTGGCTGCCTGCTCACCCCCACCCACGCTTTCTTTGTAGTTACCGATTAGCCCGAGGTCCTGGGCATCCGTGTCCCCCGCGTGGCCAGCTGGACCTGCCCCGCCAGCCTGGCTTTGTGAAAATGACCAAAGCAATGGAGTCCAGAGGTGCAAACTTCCCCGACGGGGCCTGGGGAGGCCGAATGAATGGGGGAGGGGGTGACAGGAAGGGGTGATGGTGTTCAGGTAGCTCCCCCAGGAACGGAGCTGGAAAGAGTGGGGGGGAGGGGAGGGGGTATCTGGGGGGAAGGGGGGAGAGAGGGAGGGAGGGGAGAGAGAGAGAGAAGGATTCTGGGGGGAGAGGATGGAAGGTAGAGGGAGATGGGAGAGGAGAGAAAAGGAAAGAGAGGAAGAGGAAGACAGAGGGGGGGAGAGAGAGAGGGAGAGAGAGAGAGAGAGAGGGAGAGAGAGAGAGAGAGAGAGAGAGAGAGAGAGAGAGAGAGAGGATGCCGGAAGGTGGGGAGGGAGGGAGAGGGGGGGAGGGGGGCAGCTCGGATAGGTCGGATACACCCGCTGCACCCCCAGAGGGGGGAGGAAGGGTGGGTGGAAAGGGGGGGTTCGAAATGAAGCCGAGGCAAGCAGAGGGAGGAGGTGAGGAGAGGAGGCT